TAACAATAGTAACAATACAGAAAATTATTTTAATTCGTTAATAATATCATTGATAAAATATAGCTTTGATATATTAATAATTAATATAGCATTCCTTGATAAATTATAGCCGTTGGTAATGGCTATTTTTATTGCTTTTGACAATTGCAAATTACATTCTCAACTCTATTACGATGGCATGTAAGTTTTTTGCTTATTTTTTTCTTAGTAATAGCATATGAAATCATATTTTTATTTGAATTATTTTTTATTTGAAATTATTAAAAAAATAATTTTAGGTGATTCAATAATTCAATAGGCCGGCCTAAAGATTTATTGTGCCAAGCACAATAAAGGAATGAGCACGACACGGACACGAGCATAAACACGGCATGAGCAAAAGCAAATATGGGCTTGGGCCCATGGTCCGGGCCTATAATTTTAAATCTTGGGCTACTACGAGCGCGATACGAAGTTTTAATGGGCCAGATCAAACATGACACGAAGCACAAATGAGCCTAAACTGTTATGGACCAGACCGGCACAACACAGCACAATTGACATCTCTACCAACAGTCTCACTATTCAAATCAATCTAGACGGTCCACAAAGCCAGACGAAACGAAACTTCAGTAAGATGGGGTTGGATTGTAGGAACCTTCTATATATTGAAGGTGACTAATTAACTTTTATATAAACTAAAAATGCAAATCTTTTTTAGCTGGGAAATCTAGAAGATATCAAGTCTTGTGCCAATTATATGACTAAACTAAACTGGGAAAATATGGCATTGCCACGTGCCATTTTAAAAAATGCTTATGGAACTTTAAAATTTTCAGTTTTCAACATTTGGGAAGAAAGACTGAAAGAGCACCCAATTGCTACCAACACAAGACAATTAGGCGAAAATTAAGTAGAATACCACCAAATCCCACACGGTTTTAATTTGCACAATATAATCTCTCGTTATCTAATTTATTGATTTTGATATTCTACCGTATGCTCTTCAAAAACCGGAGTCGGAGATGTCCCCTTATCATGTCGAGAAGGAAAAAAAAAGAATTCTAGTAAGGTATTAAAATTAGCATATTAGGATATTTTCTTGTGATCTGAGTGTTGTCATTAATTAGTTGACATGAACATATATATGACATCTTTTGAGGGGTATTTTTATAGTTATTTGACTGAAAAATATATTAATTAAATGTAGTAGGTAAAGAGTATTTATAATCTCCTTTCTGCAGGCAATAATGACCCAAATAAGCGAAAATTGAATAAAGCTTAGAGTCAATTCGAGTACATATATATCTGTGGTTTGTATTACTATGTAATCAGCGTGAACATTCAAGAAAAAGAAAAAAAGTAATCAGTGTGAACATGAAGAATTTTTGGAATCTCGATTTATTTTTGAATATACTAAAGCAAATAATTTATTAATGGAAAGAAAAATAAAAGAAAGAAATTCCATATAAAACTAATTAAGATACAAAGATCTAGAACCATTACAACATTATGTATCTTTGTATCTTAATTTACGATTAAAATTATGAGATTAGAATTATTTTCAATTTACGTGTATTTTTTGTGAGAGAAAATACTGTAACGAACCATAAACCATGATTCGAATCAGAGAACGAATCCTTCAATCAAACGGGCTCTATATGTTTATGATATTCTAAGTTCCAACTATATGTATCTTTCGTTTTTCTTTTATTTTAAAATTTTCATTTCTCCTTTTCAGCAATAGGTTTATACTTTCGTATATTGTCTTTTATGTTGCCTAACCTTTGACCCAGTCGATTCAACACAATTGTTTTATCGCATGCATAAATAAGCAATTTATGACAATGATAGTTCCAACGTAAGGAATTTAGTACAATTGTGTTATGGGCACGCGTGAACCAGCATTTATAAAAATAATAGTTGCAGTGTAACGATGTTTATTATAATTCAGAACAAAAATTAAAATGAAATCAAAGATCGAGTGTCTGTTTCAGTAAAATTTGTTGAATGGAAAATCCGACCAATAAAGACATGAAATTTGTACGAAATACATTTTTCGAAAAGCCTTTTTTGCCCCGTTTTGGTCGAGAATTGTTTACGGGTTACAAACAGCGAATTGCTTCTAGCATGTAACAAGCCTTTGAGTATTTTTACACTAAGCGCAAAAGTGGAACAAAATGGAAAATAATTAGGGAGAAAGAGGAAAATAGGCCTAGACTTGAGATGAATTAAAATTAATAAGTCGATAGTTTACATAAGTTAAAAATAGGCCAAATAACTGTTTTTGTCCATAACTTGTCTGGTTATGAACCATAACTTGACAAGTTATTGTCTATAATTCACGATTTTTATCAATAACTTGTCTGGTTATGAACCATAACTTGACAAGTTTGTCCATAACTTATCTGGTTATGAACCATAACTTGACAAGTTATGGCCTATTAATTTCTATAATTAAAAATTAGCCTATATACTTTCTTAAGCTTTTCATATTGGCCTATTTTCTACTATTTTTGAAATAATTAAACAAAGAGATTTGGGAGAAGAGAGAAAAAAATAAACTAATTAATTAGATAATTGTTTTTTGAATACATTTTCCTATTTACAAGTTAAGAGACAATATGTAACGACATCGTTTTAAAGATAACTCTCACACATTCAGAAAGGTTAAACTTTTTCTAATGTTTAATTTTAAATTTACGTTGTTTCTAAAAGGTTATCACCTTTCAGAATATTAAATCAAATTTTGATTGGCCTTGTTCACTTCGCGGATTCGAGTTTTTAATTCGAGTTGAGATGTGATATTTTCTGAGAGCTTTTTACTGTAGTAGAAAAAGTTAGATGTGACATTTTCTGAGAGCTTTTTACTATAAAAACCTAAAACTGAAAACTCAAATCAGTGAAATGAACGAGACCTTAATCTAAACTTAAATTCAATCGAATTTAAAAATAATTTTAAGCAGTATTTCTCTACGTACCACGTGTGATCTTCACGTAAGCACTAAGTGTTAAGTGCGATAATAAGTTTTAAAAGCGCCTCTATAACCTCACTGCCAACGTGGCGCTTGTGTACGAGCCACAAGAGCGTTTTTTGTAGGTACGTCATAATCCATTTAATAGTGCAGTGGCTTATAAAGTGCTACTTCATTACACAAGTTTTCCATATGTATGCAACTACTAAAAACTTGGGTTGTCTACTAGAACTCTTCTTATATTTTTACAAGAACGACTCAAACAAATCCCAACTTGTTCAAGTATAAATGTAAAGAAGATCACCCTAGAAAACCAATTAATCTTTACGAACATAGCAAGGTATACTTAGATTTAAACCTTACCTTACAACACGGATTATGCTTTCATAACAACAGGTGACACCACACATATAAGGACACTTGTGTTTAACATTTTTAATGGCCTTGTGCTCATCTGATTTTATAAACCTTTAAGAGAGAACTCCAACTCTCATTTAAGGTGGCATCACCTCGAAGTTCACATAAGTGGGGTTCCCCCGGTGTCTTTGTTACATTAAAGATTCTTGTCTCACATAGAGTACTGAACCTCATTAAGAGTCTAGAAATAGCTCAACCCACCAACTGCAACAACTAGCATTAATTATCCTTAGACAGAGCTTTATGTAGTGCTGAAAACTGTCCACAAAACAATGATTTATTTGTACCCTTTGAATAATAATACAAGAAAAAAAAAACAAGTCATTTTATAGTGTTAGGTTGGGTTGCCATTATTCTTAAATTATTTAATTAAAGAGTTGTTGGTGTCGTTTATTTTATTAATTTAAATTTTTAATTTTAATTTTATTATCGTTAATAATTTTTATAAAAAATCATATTTAAATTTTTTTATTACAATTAAAAATTATAACATAAAATTATATTTTAATTTAAATTAAAAATTTAAATTAATAAACTGAATAGGTCTTAACCTCATCTTTCTTGATATTGACATTACCAATGCCCTTGTAAGAGGGCTAGGTGAAAGGATATCTGCCAAGTTATTATTGGATTTCACATATGTGAGTGAACATCTCTTATTGGCACTTTATCAACCCACTCAATATTGTTTATAGCGGCTTATAAAGCTCTAATCCTCTTAATAATTAGTTTTCCATATGTATGACACTATGACTAGTTGTGTACTACAACTCTTCTTATTTTTTACACTTGAACAATTCCACTCGGTGAGATTATATATTTGATTTTTCCCCCCTCAAAAAGCACATGTTTGGCGCTTTAATTAGGATATTGTCTTTTATTAAGTAGGCTAACCTTTGACCTAGTCGATTTAATTCAATTATTTTATTGCACGCATAAATCAGCAATTTATGAGAATGATAGTTCCAACGTAAGAACTTTATTAAAATTGTGTTGTGGCATGCATGAACCCGCGGTTTATAAAAAATAATAGTTTCAATGGAACGATGTTCATTATCTAATCCAGCACACAAATTAAAGTGGTATTAAAGATCGTGTCTGCTTCAGTGAAAATTTGATAACGTTGAATAAACTATGCACTGTTTCCTCTAGATATAGAAGAGAACAAATTTTTTTCCTCTTTATCATCTGAAGAAGCAAACGCGAGTAAGGACTCACACGTTTGGATTCGTGAAGTGAACAATAAGCGACAAACTATTAGGACCCGTGTTACAGGTCTACGTTATTAGTCCAATTGCTACTGGTCAGAGTAAGGATATATTAGTCTTTTTATTGTTTTTACTGTTTACTCTTACCTGTTTGTTATTTTGCTATTTTCTAGAATTGTGTCGGCTAGCAAAATCAGTTGTAACCAAATGAGTGGTGGGACCTCACGAATCCACTCAATGCTTTATAAGTTCTGTAAGGACAATTGGAACCAGGAGGAGAATTGAATATTGTTTCCTTTATATCCCTTTTCTATATCTTGCGTCATCTTTTATTGTAGTCAATATAGCTCGTGGAAGGCGGGGCCGTGGTCGAGTAGTGACTCCGGCAGAGGCTGGTATCAATCTGGTATCAGAGCCGGCGATGGCGGATGACGACCAACGCTTCCAACGCCTCGAGCAGCAGCTCGCTATCCTGAGCATGGGACACGACAGGATGTTGAAGCAGATGACGGATTTCTTTCAGGCGGTGCACTCCCGCGAGGAAGCTTCGGCCTCCCAACCGGGCGATGCTCGTCAGATGGCCATGCACAACCAGACCGGAGGAGTTTTTCCACCTCGATATCTCCGTCTAGATTTTCCGGTATATAATGGGGCAGAAGATCCGACGATCTGGATCTGCGGGGCAGAACAGTTCTTCGATTTCCAGAATGTGGCAGAGGCGGAGAAGGTTAGGCTGGCTTCGTATTACTTGGAAGGCGATGCCCAGATCTGGATTCAAAGGAAGAACACGCTCAATGAACATATAGATTGGGCTCGATTCAAGCGAGAATTGATGCTCCGTTTTGGATCTGCACCGTACGAAGATGGTTTTGGAGAGCTCTGTAAACTTAAGCAAACCTCCACCGTGCGTGATTACCAAAGTCGCTTTGAAAGGCTTTTGAGCAAAGCCGGGGTACTCACTGCGGAGCAGGAAACGGCATGTTTCATTAGTGGGCTTCGTGACTCCTTGCAGGCCGACGTGAAGGCCCATGGCCCAACGGCCCTGGCATCTGCAATCACCTTAGCCCGGATCTATGAGGGGCGAAATCAATCAACCACAAAATGGGCCTCCCACCCTCGACCAACCTCTACTCCAAGACCTAGCTTTCCCTCCAGTAATAGGCGTCACGAGAGCGAGGAAAAGTCAGCTTCTACGCCAGAATTTCCTGTCCGACGTTTTACCCCTTCGGAACTTCAGCAACGGCGAGCTCAAGGGCTTTGTTTTCATTGCGATGAACGATACACGCCCAACCACACTTGCAAGAGATTGTTCTGGATTGAAATGGAAGAAGACGAAGCGGACAAAGACAATGTTGACGATAACGACCAAGGAACGGCATGGGAGAAACCCGAAATTTTTCTCAACTCCTTGGTGGGAATCACCACTCCTCAGACCATGAGAGTTGCAGCAAAAGTTGGTAAGATTCCTCTCACAATCCTTATTGATTCGGGTTCCACCCATAATTTCTTGCATACCCCATTTGCCCGTATTGCGGCCTTACACACTGAAGCCAACTCGGCACTCAAGGTCATTGTGGCCAATGGCGAGAAAATTCGTAGCCCGGGTCTGTGCCGGGAGGTCACTCTGCACTTGCAGGAATCTCAGTTCCTTGTTGACCTCTATTTAATCGAGTTGGAGGGATGTGATGCCGTTTTGGGAGCTCAATGGCTACGAACATTAGGACCTATTATTTGGGACTTTGACCGAATGGAGATGACATTTTCAGTAAATCAAAAGGAGACCCGCTTGGTTGGTATGGGGCGTGCTCCAACTACTTCGATAGGAGCCAAGGCGATGAACAAGGCTTTAAGGGTAAGCTCCAACACTGGCATGTTATTACAAATTCGTCTTCTAACCGAGGACGTTATGGAAAAGCAAGACACGGATGATTGGGAACCATGGGCACGGAAGTACCCCACAGTTTTTGGTGATCTACAAGGTCTTCCCCCTCGACGGAATCAGGACCATCGAATTCCGCTACTCCCAGGCAGTGGACCGGTCAGTTTACGGCCGTACTGATATCCCCACTATCAAAAGCGTGAAATTGAGAAGATGGTCGACGAAATGCTCAAACAAGGGATTATTCGACCGAGCAACAGTCCCTATTCCTCACCCGTCTTGTTGGTTAAGAAGCGAGATGGAACGTGGCGATTCTGTGTCGATTATCGAAGCCTGAACAAATTAACAGTCCGTGACAAGTTTCCCATTCCGGTGATCGAGGAATTATTGGATGAACTTTTCGGGGCTCATGTCTTCACAAAGCTGGATCTTCGCTCCGGATACCATCAGGTGCGAATGTCCGACTCGGACGTGGAAAAAACGGCGTTTCGGACACACCACGGCCACTATGAATTCAGGGTCATGCCATTCGGTCTAACTAACGCCCCTTCCACCTTTCAAAGTATTATGAATAATGTCTTCAAGGAAGCGCTGCGAAGGTACGTTCTCGTCTTTTTTGATGATATTCTGGTGTATAGTCCATCACTGCAGGAACACGAGTTACATTTGGAGAAAGTTTTTGAGACTCTAGCCCGTCACCACCTAGTGGTTAAGAAGGACAAGTGCTCATTAGCCAGACGTGAAGTCTCATATCTGGGGCATATCATTTGTGAAGGCGGGGTCAAGGCCGATCCCAAGAAAATTGAAGCAATGATGACTTGGCCACAGCCAAAAAATGTGCGGGAACTTCGAGGATTTCTCGGTCTAACCGGGTATTATCGTCGCTTCATCGCTGGTTATGGACAGATTGCCCGGCCCTTAACTGAATTGCTGAAGAAAGGGAGTTTTTCATGGGGAGACGAAGCAACCAAGGCATTTGGGGAGTTGAAGAGAGCTATGACCGAAGCACTAGTTTTAGCTCTTCCGGACTTTAGTCTGGAGTTTGTGGTGGAATGTGACGCAGCAAATACAGGAGTGGGAGCAGTGCTCATGCAACGAGAACGCCCCATTGCTTACTATAGCGCAACCCTTAAGGGAAAGAACGTCTTTCTCTCGGCATATGAGAAGGAACTCATGGCGTTAACCTTGGCAGTCCAACATTGGAGACCGTACCTATTGGGGAGGCGGTTCCGAGTCCGCACCGATCACAAAAGCCTAAAATTCTTGCTTGAACAACAAATCACTACAGAAGCTCAACAACGTTGGCTCATCAAATTGATGGGGTATGATTTTCTAATAGAATACAAACTGGGAAAACATAATTTGGTGGCCGACGGTTTGTCCCGTAGAAGAGAGTCAGCAATGTGTTTTGCCTTATCCTTGCCTAAGCCATCATGGTGGGATTCAGTCATTGAACTAAATGATACGCATTCGGAGCTCAAGGATCTGCATAGACAGGCGGAAAAAGGAGAGTTGGCATCTCCCTGGTCGATCAAAGGAGGGGTGCTATTTTATAAGGACAGGATCTATTTACCCGAGAATTCTGACTTTGTACCGATCATTCTGCAACAGTATCATGACGCCGGGCATGAAGGGTTTGACAAAACGGTGCGGCGCATCAAAGAATGCTTCCATTGGAAACACATGAAAAACCGCGTGAAGGATTGGATTCGCCAGTGCGAAATATGCCAACGGAACAAGGTGGTCCATCAATTACCAGGGGGATTGTTGCAGCCACTACCCATTCCTACTCAAGTCTGGTCAGATATATCCATGGATTTTGTGGAAGGACTTCCAAAATCGTGTGGTAAGTCAGTTCTGTTTGTTGTGGTGGATCGGCTCACAAAGTACAGCCATTTCATTCCGCTATCTCATCCGTATAAAGCAGAGACGGTGGCCCAAACATTCTTTGAGCAGGTTTTTCGCCTACATGGAATGCCGCAGTCAATCGTATGCGATCGGGATCCTACATTCACCAGTCACTTTTGGACAGAGCTATTCAGACTCCAAGGCACAACTTTCAATTTCACATCCGCCTATCATCCTCAGAGCGATGGCCAGACAGAAGTGGTCAACCGGACCATTGAAATGTACTTACGGTGCCTCTCCGGTGCAAAGCCAAGGGACTGGGTTCGTTGGGTTCCCTGGGCAGAGTATTGCTACAATACTAGTTGGCATTCAGCCACCAAGACCACTCCATTTGCTGCGGTTTATGGTAGAGATCCGCCTACTCTTTTGAGTTATGTCTCTGGAACGGCCAAATAAGCTGATGTTGAAGAAAAATTGTGTGCTCGGGACCAGATCCTTAAACTACTCCACGCCAACCTAACGGCTGCCCAGAACCGAATGAAACAGATTTATGACAAGAAGCATACCGATAGAGAATTCATGGTGGGAGACTGGGTGTACCTCAAGCTTCAACATTACCGCCAACACTCAGTCGAATTTCGGAAGAATCACAAACTCTCGCCCAAATACTTCGGCCCTTACAAGATTATTGAAAGAATTGGAGCTGTTGCCTACCGACTAGAATTGCCTCCCGGAAGTCGTATCCATCCCGTTTTTCATGTTTCACTCCTCAAGAAGAAGATAGGGAATCACAGTGTGGGAACCGGCTCTCTTCCAAACTGGGAGCTCACCTCAATCCAAGAACCAGCTGAAGTCCTGGGCGCACGGCCAGGAAGGGGAGGCGACGAGATTCTGATCAGATGGAAAGGAAGCACTGCTGCTGAGGCCACATGGGAGCAGAAGGACCAGTTCGCATCTCAGTTTCCAAACTTCACTATTCCTTGAGGACAAGGAATCTTTTCAGAGGAGGCGGCAATTGTTACAGGTCTACGTTATTAGTCCAATTGCTACTGGTCAGAGCAAGGATATATTAGTCTTTTTATTGTTTTTACTGTTTACTCCTACTTGTTTGTTATTTTGCTATTTTCTAGAATTGTGTCGGCTAGCAAAATCAGTTGTAACCAAATGAGTGGTGGGACCTCACGAATCCACTCAGCTCTATAAGTTCTGTAAGGACAATTGGAACCAGGAGGAGAATTGAATATTGTTTCCTTTATTTCCCTTTTCTATATCTTGCGCCATCTTTTATCGTAGTCAATATAGCTCGTGGAAGGCGGGGCCGTGGTCGAGTAGTGACTCCGGCAGAGGCTGGTATCAACCCGTTTATTTCATATACTCAAATTTAAATCCTTAATTCTGCTACAATGTTTATCAGCTCTCATAAAAAAATTAAATTTCAAATGTCAAAATCAAAAATTAAGTATACGTTTCAAACGGGCAATAGTATCACTAGATCCAAAACATGGGCACGTACTGCCAAAAAGTGAATTCTTTTTTTTTTTTTTTAAATTGTTGACAAGTTTTTTTCTTTTTTTTTTTCAAATTGAGGAAACAAAAATTTCTTTTCAAATTATTTTGAAAAAAAAATTTAATGACATTATCAATGATCAAGTCGAGATCGACGCTAGGGCAAACCTAGAATTGACACGATCTGAACGGTGGGCCTTGGTTTGAGTAAAGGTTGAACAACACGCCTAGTTCATTTGACCTTGACATTGATCCTCGCTTTTTGATCCAAGTCAACCCTGACCATTGCTTTTGATCCGTCGGTTCGATCCCATCGCTTGTCCGAGCTTGTTAATCTGACTCGGTTGTGAGGCCAGGTCCATCTGTCCAACACATGCACAGGTACCACCCTATTGATTTGACTCCGACACTGGTCATGGCATGCTGTTCGAACCTCCAGTAACAAACTCGCCCGTTGGTTTGACCTGACTCTATTCCTTTCTTGTTGGTCTTGACAAGAGCGGCCATATGCATCCAGGCACGATTCCATCGTAGGTCCATACCCACCGACTTGACTCGGTGTTTCGACCCTCGCATCAAGGGCAATAGAGGGTTTCTGTTTCCATGTGTAAACTAAATATGAAACAAAACAATAGTAACCAAACTTGTCTTTTTTTTTTTTTTTTTTTTTTTTTTTTTTTTTTTTTTTTTGAAAAGAAAGAGAGGGTACAATTTACAAACACGCTTTTGTTTAAAAAAAAGGAAAAAGACAAACTTTTTGTTGTTTAAAATATTTAAAAACAAATAAATGGAGTCTAAATTATAGGGACTAGACTTGTCTCAGGCATTATTGATTTTGAAAAAAGTCTAATGATCCTAAAATATAGTGGAGGGGACCCTTGAAGCATTGAAATTCAATGGATCTAAAGAGTACTACTTGGAGAATGATTCAATTTAATTCTGTCAAGAAGTTTCCACAAGAAATCAACAATGGCGTCCCCCGCGCGCGTGGTTTAAGGTTGGAAATTGAGGGGTAATTCACACTTCCTCAACCTAAACAGTGAGTTTTCCAAAGAAAGGAATTAGAGTAATTTCTGACTTTTTCCTTCTTTCCTTTTTCTCTGATCCAATTTTCCAAATTTTGACATTTTTTTTATTCTTAATATTTTCCTCAGATAATTAAGAATTCTGGTCAAAACTCCATTTTTCACGCGCAATAAAAAGTCTTAATCAAAGTATAACCAATGATTTTGCCCTAATTAATTTTGTCTTGCTTATATAAGGATCTTTTCCTTACTCTTCCTTATTAACCAACTCATTCACTGTATTTTAAAGTCATATTGACAATCACAACTTTCTTCAGCAACTCAATATACCAAATAAATTTCTAATCCTATTAATGGAAGCCTTTCATCTTTTCATCATTTTGATCTCTTTTGGGGTCTCCCTCCTACCATTGTCAGAATTCTCTAGTGCTGCTCATATCAATTCCATAACTCCAACGCAATCACTCATTGACGACGGTAACGCGACTACTTTGGTTTCCGGCAACCAAACCAGCGTGTTAGGCTTCTTCTCTCCCGGAAATTCGAATAAGAGGTACTTAGGAATATGGTACAAGAGGAAGCCTGAAACAACTCTCTGGGTTGCCAACAGAAATAGCCCACTAAACGATTCGAATGGCGAATTTACCATCAGAGAAGGGAACCTAGTTCTTCTTAGCAGCACAAGGAGCCTCGTTTGGTCCTCAAATGTATCAAGCAAAGTTGCAAATAGTACGGTTGCTTTGCTTTCGGACTTTGGAAATCTTATACTCAAAGAGCAAGAAAGCACGAGTCAAAACGTTTATTTATGGCAAAGCTTTGATTATCCTACTGACTCACTCTTGTCAGGCATGAAGCTTGGATGGGACAACAGTACTCGCTTCGAACGATACTTAACATCGTGGAAAAGCACCGACGATCCATCAACCGGTAATGCCACATTTAGGATAAGCATAATAAGTGGGCTGCCCCAAGCTGTGCTCGTGGTGGGATCGACCCCAACGTATCGGACGGGGATATGGAATGGAGTTCGATTCAGTGGCGTGAAATCACCATTTATCTCCGTTTTCGACATCTTTTATGTATTCGATGAGAACAACGCATACATGAAGTTTGAGATTACGGGCAACTCCACCCTTTCGCTTGTAAAGGTCAATCCTTCAGGTTTGGGGGAGCAACTTATTATGCAGGATAATAGTTCTGACTGGTCTGTTATGTACACATTGCCCGCTGATCAAAATTGCGAGAGTTATAACTACTGCGGTGCTAATGCGGTTTGTACAAGTACCAGTTATCCCGTATGCGAATGCTTGAAGGGCTTTACACCAAGGTCCGAAGAAGAATGGAAAGGCCTAACTTGGTCCAAGGGATGCGTAAGGAGGACACCATTAGATTGTCAAAAGGGAGAAGGGTTTGTAAAGGTTGCGGCGGTGAAATTGCCAGACTTGTTGGATTTTTCGTATAACAAGAATACGAGCCTTAAAGAATGCAAGGAGGCTTGCTCGAAGAACTGTTCTTGTATCGCTTATGCTAATTCGGATGTCAGGAACGGAGGCAGTGGGTGCTTAATGTGGTTTGGTAACTTGATTGATATGCGAGATATAGCGGCTAAAGGAAGTGAACAAGATCTTTATATACGACTATCTTCTTCAGATATGAGTAAGTTTAATTTGTCAAATTGCCAGGTTTTTTTTTTCTTTTTTTTTTTTTTTCACACATGCATTTCGAATAGTTCTTGCTCCATTTTAATAATTCAAGTTGAATTTTGATCACTATATACAAAAATCATGTTTTTTTAGAAAAATATTAATGAAGAACTATAATTTACACAAAACTATTAATGTATTGACATCGCCTTGTCCTTTTCAGAAGCATTCAGTGACGCAAATAAGAAGAAAAAACTTAAGATCATCTTATCGGCTTCGTTGACTTCTGGCACATTAGTATTTGGCCTTGCATTCTGGTGCATAGCTACAAAAATAAGGAAAAGGAAAAATTGTAAGCAACATATTTTAAACAGCTATCGTTTTGTTAATCACTTTTCTTAAAATTTGATAACGGAATATCTCAAAAATTTTGCATATTAAATGGAAATAGGTCAAAGCATAGATGAGGATATAGACTTGCCTATATTTGATTTGCCTACAATCACCGCTGCTACAAACGGTTTCTCGAGCGAAAATAAGATAGGAGCTGGAGGGTATGGTCCTGTTTATAAGGTATCAAATTTCTTTCATAATTCATGTTTTTCTATTTCTAGATACAAATTGTGTGTGCATTTCTCCATCTAAACTTTATACTGAAATAAACATGTTTGTTATACCAACATTTATGTCCGATAAATTAATATTTTTTAATTACACGCTAAAATTTAACTATAACTAATTTTCATACGACAAAATTATCCAGGGAAGACTCTCCACGGGACAAGAAATCGCTGTTAAGAGACTGTCGAAGAATTCAGGACAAGGTCTTAAAGAGTTTAAGAATGAAGTCGAATTGATTGCAAAGCTTCAACACAGGAATCTTGTTGCTCTTCTTGGTTGTTGTGTTGAAGCAGAAGAAAAGATGTTGATCTATGAATATATGCCTCAAAAGAGCTTGGACCATTTTATCTTTGGTTTGACCCTGAACATTTAGAAATCAAATTCTTTACTTTTTTTGCACTTTGAAATTAAAAGTCACATAATGTAGACAATATTGTTAGTTCGTCAGTAATTATTTTCCTTTAAGTTGTTAGGAGGGGAGCAGGGGTGGAGCTAACGCTAGCCCAAGTGCCCAACATTTAGTTCATATCCCCCTCAAATTTTCTTTTATTTACCCCCTCAAATCTTTTAATGATAAAATTTACATAATTTTTTTAGAAAAACATTTCAATCATATCCCAAATTTGACTTTTGAGTTCTCATATTTTGAACTTTCAAACACAAATAAATGAAAAAATTAACTGAAGTACTAAATGAATTCATAATATTTGGACTGTAAATTAACCTTAAAAATTACCATAATATCTATATTACAAGCTTAATACATTTAAAGGGGGGAAAAAAGAGAAGATACAAATAGATATATTTGAATTACAAGATACATTCAAATGTTGTGCAGATGGCACAAGAAGCACAATATTGCCTTGGAACAAGCACTTCAATATTATCAGAGGCATTGGAAGGGGTCTTCTTTACCTCCACCAAGATTCTAAACTTCAAATTGTTCATAGAGATCTCAAAGCAAGCAATATTTTACTAGACAATAATCTTAATCCGAAGATCTCAGATTTCGGGTTAGCAAGGCCTTTCAGAGACGACGAAAATGAAGCCAGGACAAAGAGAGTTGTCGGAACATAGTAAGTTTTGAAAGATCAAACACTTTCCTTTTCATTACCTTTTCTTTCACGAAATATATTTGTGTACACATATTTCTTATTAAAAAAATGTTGTGATAACAAATTTATGCTCTTCCTATATAGTGGATATATGTCGCCAGAATATGCAATTGATGGGAAGTTCTCCATAAAATCCGATGTGTTTAGCTTCGGTGTTATTTTGCTGGAGACTGTGAGTGGGAAAAAGAACAGAAACTTCAATCACCCAGATCACAACCATAACCTTCTAGGACATGTAAGAAAAGATTAACTATTTTTCACCTATACGCATGAGCGGAGCTAGAAAAATAAGTAGGGGGCGGACACATAACTTATAATTTTTTCAAAATTTGAGAGGTGGAGGAACATATAATTACATATTCTCAGAGGACGCAAAGTACAAATTTAGCAAAATATACATACAAAAATAAAAGAAAAAAACTTTATGGTAAGGAAGGCCGGCCAATACCCTCGGCCATGTGTAGCTCCGCCCTTGTGTATATGTAACGTTACTTCCTCTTATTTTATCCATAGTAGCGTTGGTTATTGACAAGGAATATTATTGCAGGCTTGGCTGCTATGGGATGAAAACAGACCCTTGGATCTAATGGATGTTTGTTTTAATGATTCATGCGTTGAATCTCAAGTGTTAAGATGCATTCAAGTGGGTTTGTTATGTGTCCAAAAGTTCCCGAACGACAGACCGACAATGTCGTCCGTCGTTTTCATGTTGGAAAACGACGGAGCTCTGTTGCCTGAACCTAAACTGCCTGGTTTCTTTGTGGAAAGGAATTCAAGTGATGAAGCCTCTCCATCGAGAACTGAAGATCCCAATTCTGAAATTTTAATTACCGTATCCCTACCGACTGGTAGATAATATATAGAGAATATTGTAGAACGTGCAAATTACAATAGATGGCCTATTATTTGGAGTATACAATGTATATCTTTTGTTTGAATAGAAATATCATAATTACATAATTACTATCAGAATGACTGTCATGCTTTATACGATATAATTACATAGTAATTATCATAATGATTTTAATTTTTGCTATTATTGTCCACAATCAGAGTATTCTGATCAAAATAGTAAACATACGACTCCAATTGTTTTCGGTACTGTTGTTGGGGAATGAAGGGAAAGCCATAGACCTAATGCACGTAATTTGCTTTGGAAAGGATTCATTTGCTGTATTTCAAGTACTAAGGTGCATTTATGTGAACTTATCTAAAATCATGTGTGTCGGGTCTACGGACCGATTACGACCTGTGGAATAATTTCGTTCTCGCGAGTTTAGATAAATGATTAAAATTTCTAAAGAGCGGTGTTGGGTTCAACTTCTTAAAGGGGTTATTTAGTAAACAATCTAGAAGCTCAACTTATTCACGTAACTAGTTCAATTAGGAACTATTTATTAATAATTATTGACTTTAATCCCATCACAAAAAATCTTACATTTAGGCTGGTCATATATCAAAATCAAACCAACATAGTAAAACTAAAATTTAACATTCAACACTCAAAATCATAATGCACCTATCGTTTTTAGTCATCTCCTATTATAAATCTACCTAACAATTAACTTTTCTAAAGACCATCATTGCATAAGCACCTTGACTATATCAAGTTGTAAAATCTCACAAACTTGCCCCAAGTCTCAAGTTTGACAAAATTACAAAAGTTGGTCTTTCAGCACAAACTCTATCAATTGGGCAAATTCCACCTTTATTACGAGAAATTTATAATAAATTGTAAGAAATTCCAAAAATTCCAAAACCACTACTAAATCAAAGTAGACTCATGGGGCTTTCTTTAAAGTTATTATGTGCTAGGTTTAAGATTCATCAGACTTATCAAAATCAGACCGAAATCCATATCAAAATTTAAGTCAGGAAATTGACAGATTTTTGCATGAACTTGTAAAAATCATAACTAATTTTAGAAAAATCTTTTTTCCATGATTTTTGAACCCACTTAAAGCTTAGGATGTCTATTTTAAAGAAAAATATTATTTGAGACAAAACAGTAGAGAAAAGATTCCGAATGTAATGACTGAGAAAATCTCAGACCGTAAATAATACAATTTATGTATTTAAGCCAAAGATTTTCCTAGGAAATATTATGTGATTGAAGGATTTATGGAATTAATATCTGTATTCCAAAATTTTTTAGCAGATTTCATGTTAAGTTCATGTTTTCGATCAAGTAAATTTGATCGATAAATTCTCGCCGTACTTTAAGGCGGAATAATTTTCAGTACAAGTATAGTTTGAGAATCTTAATTTCAAGAATTTCCAAGGACAGCACGATGTTAGTAGCCTATAAAAAAAAACGCACTGACATTTTAAAAGAAGAGAAAATCCTTAATTGCCAGACAGCTAGGTTAAAGTCACAAGATAAATACCTATAGTCGAAGGGTACAATGTGAGCTCGGGAGTTGACACTGTCAGAAACAACGTCATTCCTGGGATATAATGCAGAAAAGTTAAATTTCAAATTTGCTCAGTCTAGAATTAATTTCAAGACTTGAAACAGTTCAAGATATTACGCGAGTAAGAATTTAATGTTATCTCAAAATAGTCGAGGATTTAACATTGAACTGTAAATAAGCAGTAGAAAAGGAACCGTCAGAAACTAAAATTTCCTGTCGGCTAAGTACGTTCTTACAGTCGGTATGATTTTTATCTAATTCAAAGGAAACTTACGAGAGTGGACAAAAGTACAAGGGGTAGGTTATATTTTTCTCTCTCTCCTTCTCCATCTGGCCGGCCATGCATAGTAAAAATAGAGCCAAATTTTGGCTAGTTGAGTGTGCTAGAGGGTTTCGTGTTAAGGTGTGATGTAATGGTAGTGGTTGAAGGAGAAATCATGGCATACTTGCTCCTTCTTTTCAACACCTAGAACCGACCATGACTTAGGGGATTTGAACCAAAATTTGGTTGATTAATGGAGTGAATTGGGGTTAAATAAATGATCACCAACTTGTCTATAAAAGGAGCCATCATAAGCTAGGCCTCATTTTTTTTACTCTCCTCTTTTCTCTCCACCTCAAATCCGGCCATACTCCACTCATACTCTCTCAAAAATTTTCTCTCACTCTCCTAACCTTAAGCCACTAGCAAACAATAGATGAAGAAGAAGGAGATCAAAGAATTCTAACAAGAGTCTAGTCAAGCACTTCTCCAAGGGTATAAACTCTAAATCCTCTCTTTCTCATTTTTAGTAAAGTTTGAAATGTAGAATTATTCTTCTCAAATTTCCTTATACTCTTCTAGTTCCAAGCCATTAACAAATCTTAGAGGAGTTCAAAGGTTTTCAAGAGAAAGAGTTCTTCAAGGGTAATTCTTAAACTCTTATCCATTATTTTCTAGCCAACTTTAAGCTTGAATTTACGGATGTAATTTGTGGTTCTTGAGGAGATGAGTTGTAATAAGGGTGTGTGAGTTTTTTGTTGATTTTGTGTGTTTTGAGGTTAGTTTGATGTGGTATGCTTATGTTTGGATTAAGTTGCTTATTTTGGGTTGGAGGAAAATTTTTTGTGGTTACTTTGAATGCGAAAACGAGGACTCTAAAGTGAGATTTTTTAGTATTTCTAAGCTTAAACTTATGGTTCTCGATGTTTTGAACATTTTTCTGTGACTATGACAAAACTCAACTTTAACTCTAAAAGCAAGTTTGAACCCATTTTGTAAAAACGGACAGGCTGTCCAAACACAATTTCAAAAAAAAAAAAGAATGCCACGGCAAAATGCTACAGCATTCCTACAACATTCTTACAGCAAAAGAAAAAAAAATAGCAGCCACTGTTTTCAGCCAAACGAGGCCTTTAGAGGCTGAATTTCAACTTTCTCCAAAAATAATAATTTTAGATCTCGATGAGATGAAAAATTTCACGAAGAACAAATTTTTGAAATCTGACCCTAAGATGCAGTAAAATGTAAATTTCAGAAACTGCACAGTTTTAATGAAACAAAACTAACATAGTGTTGGTTTTAACAAAAAGTTATCAAAGAACCTGAGATGTGATTTTAGTAAAATACTATGGTGTTAAACCTTGTTTTAACAGAAGTATTCGTAAAGAAAGTTTTCAAGAAAAAATGCTTTCTTTTAAAGAACTTAGTGGCTTATCGAGCAAATCACCCCGACGGGCACCTATGAGCCCAATATGATAGGTCCTTAGAATTTTAAAGATTTGATGTGGGTCCAATGCCTGCATTAATCTAAGGGACTCCGTTTGAGTTTAAATTTCAACGGCCTAAGAGTTAGAATGTCGTGAATAAGTTTCTAGGCCGAATTGGGCCTTAATATCATAATAAGTCCAATGAGGAAAATTATGGAGAATAAGTTACTAGATTGGGTAAATGATTTTCAATCTAGACATAAGTATGTTAAGGGCAATTAAGGAAAATAAGATTGTGAGGATTTAATACATTGATCCTTATAGTAAATTATCTTTCAGTAAAGGAAAGGAATACATGCCTTAAGTAAAGGGCTAGATTTCTTTCATAAGCTGCTAAAATAGAATAGCACACGAAAGATAATCTCACACTCTCAATGGGTGTTCATTTTCAGAAGTAAGCAAGTAAGAGAATAGGCTGTTTGGCGAAAAGTGGATTCCAGCTCTGTAAAATCAGGTAAGTAGGAATCTCGCCTACAACATGAATAGATTTTAAAGAAAAACTTACACATGTTATATATGCATGTTTATGTTTTAAGTATTGTATGCGATGCCATGTCATACTGCATACACCTTAATAAGTCAAGAGGAACTGATAAGAATAATCTCAGTGGAGTGCCGTCCCAGCCTCTGAGAGGGAGGTAACTCAGGCTCCGCAAGGGAGAAAAAAAATAATGCCCTCTGAGAAGGAGGCATTCAGTTCAATTATAATCATGGTGTCATGGGGGACCTTGCAAACCCTCACGTCCTGATGATTGCAAGCAAGTGGTATGAGCACTCGGACCCATCAGTAAGAAATATAAGATAAGATAAGATAATAAGACTTTGATAAGACATCATAATGAAGTATAATCAGCTCATGCATATTGATTCATGTGTACTTACAGTTAATTTGCGAGAGATAGTTCCTACTTGCTGAGCGAAAGCTCCATCAGATATGTTCATGATGTAGGTAAGAAACCTATCAGCAATTCTTGAAGGGCAATAGCGAGCGGCGCACGAATAGTGGAGTTGGGAATGGATACCGCTCACTTAGTAGTTAAAGTTTTAAAAGATTTTGATAAGTATGTCTATAAACTTACATTTTTAGAAGTTTGTTGTATAATGCTAAGTTTGTGTAAACTGCCAAAAAGTATGTTGTTATAGTAAGTTTAAAAAGAAAAGAAAAAGAGCATGCTGCAGCATTCCTACAGCATTTTAAAAGAATGCTACAGCATTCCTAAACATTTTAAGAAAAGAATGCTACAACATTCCTACAGCATTTTAAAAAGATTGCTACAGCACTCCCAAAGCATTTTTAAGAAGAATGCTATAGCATTCCTACAGTATTTTAAAAAGATTGCTACAGCATTCCCAAAGTATTTTTTTAAGAAGAATGCTACTACAACATTTTAAGAAAAGCTTTAAGAAATTTAGTGATTTATTCTTTTGAAATTATTGTTACGAACTATGAAATTATTCAATCTTATAAAAACAAAATGACTCACAAATTTTAAGAAATCCCAATAAGTACAAGTTAATTTCAGCTATAGTGGCGACCTCCTAGGAGGGTCGTCACAGTTGGTATCAGAGCCGGTATCCTGCCATCCTACTCCACGTCGTCACGCGTCTGCTTTGCCATAGTCCAAGTAAGTTAAAGAATGCTCATGTTAATTAGATTATAGTTTTTAATAAATGCAGACGCTTATTTAACGAGCAACCTAAGGTTAATATGTTCGCGCAATTAAGATCAT